TGGGTGCTTTCGAGTCAATCAGAGCTTTCAAAGGAAAGATGAAACCCTCGGATGGCAATTCCAACCTCTTTGTTCTTTGGATTGTCAGTGCACCCCAGTTGACATGATAATCTGCGGCTTCCAACTTGGCAACTAAGTATTCACCCTTCCAATCATGACCTGGTTGGATGTAATACCCAAGGAAAATTCCTTCATTTGCTGTTGGGGAGAGCTTACCTGATGTGTTATCCAACCTCTTGGGGTTATTCCAGAACAACACTTTGGCACCAAATGGAATGTGCATTGCAGGGAACTCTTCACCAAACCTGAGTTGCCATGGGGAATCACTGCCGTCAAGCTGGGGGCTTGCATTGATCGCGGTCGCATGATGCTGCATGGCCAATGGCCACATCTTCAAAGGAAGTCCTGATTGCAACAAGTTGCTCCGGGCACCTTCCAACATCTGACGAACTTCGCGCTCAGCAAAAGACTTTGATGAATCTACATATTCAATGGAAGTTTGGTGTCTGTAACCCAAATCCTTGATGGCCCTGATCAATTCTGGGGAATTGTCAGTGTACACAACTTGAACATCATCCTTTGATCCAATGAAGTGATTCAAACCATCAACACAGCTTTGTGAGTCCTTGGACTGGCTAGGGTAGACATACCGATACTGGGTGTGCAGATCTTTCAACACCAATGCAACTTGCTCCCCCCTGAAACCCTCTTCTACATTTTTCTTGATGATGACGTGATCCCCAATGATGTGGTCACCAAACACTTCAGTTTCGATTCTCTTCTGACCACCCTTCTTTCGTGCCTGAGGTGCCATCATCCTTGCTCGTTGGCAGGTTCTGCAAAAGGGGTTCTTGGGGAAATGCGTGTACTGATGTTGGGTACTTGCAGCTTCAGCCAACAGATCCTCAGTCTTGCGGCTTCGGATGTACTCCTGCTGAGCGTCATCCTCCACCAGCTCATCCAACTGCTCTTCATCTTGGGCTTCATCCCGCTTGGCTTTTGAGCTCGACCGTGAGGTCGGCATTGCAAACAACTTTTTGAGGTGCTTATCCTTTTGAAATTGATCTTTGGGATAAACCTTGCAACTATCATCCAAGATTGGGACATGACCTTCGATCTTGAGCTGGACGACCTTGTCATCTGGACAGACTAGGATTGGTTTGCCATTGGCAGGCCATACGAAACTGTAACCCTGATCTACGCATCTCGTTCCTACAGAGAGCACAGCTGGGGTATGATCAAGCACATACGGATGCACGGGATCTGGCAATGCGGACAACTTGACATCAGCAACTTCATTTGCCTCGGTCGAACCATTGGCTGTGACTAAGGAAATCGGATGCTCGGCTGCACGGCAGTTCTTGGCACTTACGTCCCTCAGCATTCCTTTGGACACAAGATCGGATTCACTACCTGAGTCAACAAGCCAACTAACGCCGGCCTTTGGCGCAGCTGTGGCAATTGACGGGAAACGACCAATGTCTCTAAGGGCTTTGGGACCGCTGATGAACCTGCACTCTTTGCATGTGACGTCACGTGTGTCCTCATTCCAACAACAAAACCCACAACTTGGTGCAACATCTGAATCATGAAGTTTCACAGTTTCTTGGAGCTGTCTTGCACGAACCTGAGCTTCATGCTGTTCAACCTTTGATGAAACTGGAACATCTTCAGCTGTCTTGTACACCTTAGTGAACTCTCTTGGACGGTGCTTGACTGGGACTTGACGACCAACTGCTTTCACTTCGATCACATGTGGGGCCTTACGGAATCTAAGACGCTTCATGCTGACACTTGCCTCATCAGAGCACGAAGTTGCCTTCGGCTGTTTTCGGACGATGCATGCAAACTTCTGGATCAGACATGGAGCGGCTGGGGAATCCTTGCCCTTCTTCTTGGGAGCGGGTGAATTGGCCCTTTTGGTGTCTTTGGTGGCGGCAGCGGCTTTGTCATCATGTTTATAAAAACATTTGTCACCACGTCTGCACTTTCCCTGGGCATGATAGATGCATGGGGTTTTAGCCATTTCTTCTTTAGACATCTTCTTCCCCTTATCATCCTTATTGCCCCTTGATGGTGAACGTGTTTTGGTTCTTCTGGGTGATTGAGTTCGAGATTTATCATCTTTGACATGCTTGAATGGGCACTTCTTCCCCTTATCACAGGTACCCTTTTGGAACTTATAGCAAATCTTGTCGCCTTTGCCACCTCGTTCCTGCGATCTACCGCGACTTGGAGAGCCCTTTCGGCCGCCGCGACCATCGCCTTTGGCGGGTGCGGCCTTTGTGTCCTTAATCCCAGCCTTGTTCTTCTCCGCAATGCGATTCCTGTTCTCCCTCAATCGTTCACGATCGATCAAGTTCTTCATGGATTGGTGAAGAAAACTGTAAGACTTTTCATGGGATTTCTCATGAGCACGGTCAAACACCTCGATATCATATTTCAGCAACTGACTTGGTCGGATCTGCCTCAACAAGATGTCCCTTAATACAGCATCATCAGGGGTGACAGCCATGCCAGCTAGGGTAGCATCCCATTTGTTGATGAATCTTCGGAGATCCTGGACAGTATCGCCTACGATGACAACACCCAAAAGATCTTCTACTCTGTAAAGGCTACCTGCTTCTTCTGATGTCTTGAAGTAGTCCTCAAACATAAGCAGAACATATCTTCCCCTGACCTGGATGCCTTTTCGGGATTGCTGCTCCTTGAAATTCAAGATCCTAGTTGCAAGGTCCCCTCCGGCTGAGCGCGTGAGCGCTGCTGATAACTTTGTATCCAGCGTGAGGAACTTTCCAGGATCTTGGAGTTTCTTCTCCAACTGTTCTCTGGTGCACTCTTGATCGTACACCTCGTTGAGCCAGAGCCACGCCTCATCCGGGCGATCTGAACAGCTCTTCACTTCATCCCTGACATGATTCTTCCAAGTTCTATATGACTCCGGAGCGGGCATGTTGTTCAGCTTGATGAGTTCAGCCTCCTTAGTTTTTGGCTTATCCTTTTCTTCCCTTTGGGTTAAGGCTTTCACCAATTCAATAAGATCTGAGGGACCCATTACTTGCTGTTGCTTGGTTGCGCTCTTAGGAGATTCATTTGGGGGAGTTTTGATAGCTTCAGTGGGAGTGAAAAACCCTGACTGCGTTGGCAATTGGGGCTGGTCGTTGCCGACAGCCGGCTTTTGCTTGGGACTGCCACCTTTGAGCAGCTCATCCAACTTGGCCTTTGCTTCCTGCGCCAACACTGCAGGCGTCTTCAACTCAAGAATCGGCTCATCACTGCCTCTGGCAGCCTGTGCATCGGATGCTTTGGGAGTGGCAATATTGAAGTGGGGCACGCTAGTGGTAGCGGCCAGCTCGGCATTCTGGACGGATGCTTTCGGAACGGAGGCATGCTGCGCTTTGGCAACATGCTTTAACTGCTCCTGAAGGTCATCGATTTGGTCCTGAAGGCTAAGGTTCTGAGCCGCTGCCTCGTTGATCTTGTCGGCCATCTCCTTCTTGTAGTTCTCGAATTCGGTCCTCAAACTGATGAACCTGGCCTGATCAATTGCAGCCTGATCTTCATATTGCTTCTTTGTGGCAGCTATGGCATTCTTTGCATGTTCAACTGTCTGTGCATAGGAAGCTTCGAATTCACTAGTGATACGTTTCCTTTCCTCTGCAATTTTCTGATCATGCTTTGTGTTTGCCTCTGCCTTTACATCCTCTATTCTTTTGTCATGCGATGCCTGAGCCTGATTCAACCTGACCTCCATCTCGTCGCCTCGTTTCCTCTCCTCGTTGAAGGCACTAATGGCATTACCTTCAACCTCCTGCAGCCTTTGCTCATACTCCTGCTCCTGCATTACGAGTCTACTTGACCATTCGTTTCGAATTGAGTCAACTACTCCATGCATTATCTGAAGGTGCCTCTGTTCAGCTTCCCTCATGACTTGCAGGGTATTCCCACTAGTAATCTGGGACAGGTTGTTTTGTATGAAGGTAAAGTACGCAACAACGGGTTGGAACATTGTTTCGTCATCCATCGGCTCGGGGTTGCCCCCGGCCATATTAGGCACAGCGACAGCCGATGGACCTGACCCTGGAACGGCGAGAGGATGGTCAATTGGGGTCCCCATAGCAAAGTAGTGAGACTACGGCTGATAACCTGTATTTTACCAGGTCAACCGACAATGGGGGTAAAATGCACTACAAACCGCTAAGCTCTCAGCTCTTTTTGAACCAACGCTATCGGGCAGATCGATGATATATACAATACATGGTTTTACTGCAGGAGTTTTTACAGATCCTGACCATTGATGTCTGAAGTGCTTTCCAACTTTCAGGTTCCGGAAATTGAGAAGCTATGAGTTTGATTCACAATCACACAAAGAAGTTTCTAGGCCTAGAGGTTCTCCAAAGAATTCCCAATGCCCACAATTGCTTCCAGTTGCTTGGCTTCTCTGGCGATTCCTTGGTGTAGCTAGTCGGGTCCACAAGTCTTTTGAAGCAATGCTTTCCTTCACTGCAACTATTTGTTCTGCTGGGTATGTGGAGAAAGCAATCATGTGCATGTGACCCCAGCAGACACCCTCTGATCAAAGGAAGAAAAGGAAACAAGTCTTCATCAAATTAAATACGTTAAATACTGCAAAACCATGTAAAATCCGACAATGCCATGCTTAGCCGAGCTTCAGGATCAAGTTTCTTCACAGTATTCTCGCACGCCTCCAAGAGTTTCTCCAACCCAGCCTCCTGCAGTGCCTGTCGCACCAAAGACCCTATAAATCTATGAATGAACAGCAGACCAATGCTCTTCAACTGCAAAAGAATAGTGTGCCAACTGTGTCAACGGACTCTTGCATCTGAATAGAGAAGCGGATGTGAGAGTTTTTTTTGGGTTTTCACACAATCAGATTGAAGGTTAAGATCGCAAATCTACAGTCTGGGAGTATCTCTGCTCCTTTTAGCCACAAACAGAGCGGTCGCCCACAAAATGTCTGACTATCCTATCCCAACAAATCATAAAGTCAAGTCTGAGTTGTAATCAAATGTCTCCAAGAATTCTTTGATTGAAGAGGGCAAGAAATTCAATGCATGGTCGCAAACCCAAGTTCCGGCCTGATTGGACTGCTCCTTTGCCCATGATGCCAGGTTGTCGATCAGAATGTCTTCTACCACCTAGGCATCGGGAAGGTTGAGATACTGGCTTGATTCGGCTTGATGCATCCAGATGACCAGCGGCCAAAGCGGCCAAAGCGGCCAAAGCGGCCAAAGCCTTGCGCTGCTACCAAGTGACATGCTTCGTGATCCACGGAGTCAAGGCCTGGACCACAATGTGGAAAAGGTTGATATGAACACGTAGGGAACATCCCAAGCTTTGGTTGTTGAGCCTAAATTACTCAAATGGACCAAAAAATGCTGATTTCTTGACAATTCCAGATTTTGGAGATGCTATGAAAAAGTTGCTCCCTGCAGGACACTGAAATCTTGGAATCTTGGGCCCGTCCGCTCCTCCAAGAAGCCAGCGGCGCTTCCAGCAGCAGCGTTCACCACCCCACGGCGCAGGGTGTTGAGGAGCGCTTTTTGCAACGGAGGGGTCAGCCTCAGTGGTCACCAACTCCCATGGGCCAGGTAGGTGGATAGTTAGAGATCACATCCAGGAGACAATTCATCCAAGACACTTTCCCACACCCACGTGTTGCAGCAGCCTGAAGGAAAGATCTTTGGCAATGGCAGTGCCTTGGTCCTGCAATAGCAGTAAATGCAGTAAGCAATCAATCACGGATCAGGACAAAAAGGGAGTGCATACACAATTATATACACCCATACTGTATAATACAATGGATACAGTACACATGTATATCTGCATATATATATATAGTATGTATGTATGTATGTATGTATGTATGTATGTATGTATGTATGTATGTATGTATGTATGTATGTATGTATGTATGTATGTATGTATGTATGTATGTATGTATGTATGTATGTATGTATGTAGTGTATGTAGTGTATGTAGTGTATGTAGTGTATGTAGTGTATGTATGTATGTATGTATGTATGTATGTATGTATGTATGTATGTATGTATGTATGTATGTATGTATGTATGTATGTATGTATGTATGTATGTATGTATGTATGTATGTATGTATGTATGTATGTATGTATGTAGTATGTATGTATGTATGTATGTATGTATGTATGTATGTATGTATGTATGTATGTATGTATGTATGTATGTATGTATGTATGTATGTATGTATGTATGTATGTATGTATGTATGTATGTATGTTGTATGTATGTATGTATGTATGTATGTATGTATGTATGTATGTATGTATGTATGTATGTATGTATGTATGTATGTATGTATGTATGTATGTATGTATGTATGTATGTATGTATGTATGTATGTATGGATGTATGGATGTATGGATGTTTGGATGTATGTATGTATGTATGTATGTATGTATGTAATGTAATGTAATGTAATGTAATGTAATGTAGTGTAATGTAATGTAATGCAATGCAATGCAATGCAATGCAATGCAATGTAATGCATGCATGCATGGATGGATGGATGTATGTATGTATATATAACTATATCTATACGTATAATTATACTTTTATGTATAATTGAAACAATGTTGCCTCAACCTTTGGTAGAAGCACGTTTCTTCCGACCGCTGCCTGCTGCAGCGCACCTATCAAAATGGTCAAGTTACGTCAAATGACAGGAAAGCATTGAAAGAATCTTTCTTACGAGGCGTTCTGGCTTCTGATTGAGACTTGTCCAAAGGATGTGAAGTCAGCACCCCCTGACCAAAGGAGTCTCACATTAATATCACTATCCTTGTGCAAGAACTTCACAGCTGCAAGCAACGTTGTGAAAAAGTCCTGCAAGACTGCAAGACCCAAGGCTCCCACACCACAGAGTTAAACTGACGTACCGCTTCCAAAATCTATCAAACAGCAGCACGGAAGGAGGCCGCCACTACAAAGTCTCTGTGATGGCTTGGAGGCAATCTCCTAAGAGCTTACAAAGTTCAATTCCAACCCTTCCCAGCTGACACCTCGGCTTGTGTGGGACCCACATGGGCTTCTTTGCGCAGCCGACGCAAAAGGGTCCAAGCCACCTTGCCAAATTTGCCAAATCCCAGCAGATTTTGTCAGCTGACAATTCAAAAACATGTTTGATGGGCCTGCTGCAGATCCTTGCGGCGAGAGCGTGCTTGGGAGAGGACCACAGAAGGTAGGCTTCCGGCTGCGACCTCACAAGGCATGAGATTCGCATGCACTCCCTTCAATGTTTTGGTGAGGGTCAGGGCCAAAAGAAGCAATGGAAACACAGTACGGCCAAGAGCAGACCTGGCCTGCGCATGTCGACAGGTAGCCACCATCAAACAGCAAAGCCGTGCCGTCTTAATGCGTTCGGCGTCGGAAGGAACAGACTCTGTCGATGCCACGCCCTGCCCAGGCAAGCTTGAAAAGGAAGGAATGCAACACGTGTGTTGGAAGTGGAACTAGTGCAAAAGCAGGCAGAACTCTGGTACACCAAGTCCTTGAAGCATCATCACTGAGTCAAAAGTTTGCAGGCCTTCTGCAACAGAACAAATAGATGGGAAAATGCAGAGCTCTTGAGGAGGTCCCCAGGCTCTGGCATCCCAGACACCAGAACACTTTCGGTAGGCACCTGATTGGCCTGCACAGTGCAAAAGTTTGGGATGCGAGCTTGGCATGGCTTGGCCACAGTTGCAGACTCAGGATGGTTTGATACAGCTACCGTAATGTATGCGGATCAAAAATCTTAAATTTGACAGTTCACCTCCGGCCTGTCTTGCAACTAGACGCCACTCGGGAGACTTTGTACTTCCTAGTAGAACAACGCCATTCTCAAGTCCATGATAGTCCATGACCCATCTTGGCAGTACAAGCTTCAACATTTTTTCTGATATACAGGAAAGTTCAGAAGAGAGAGGCTATTATTGATCTGCACCCACTTCCGCCACTGATTGCGCACCTCCGCTAACAACTTCCCCAAGTGGTTGGCCAAAGCATCCTGAAGAGCATCTGGCAGCTGGCAGAACCAAGGCTTCACCTCGGTGCCCACATCGCACTTCAAAGAGCCTGGACCACCATCGAAGCCCAGCCCGAACCCCGGCACCTCTTCGGTCTTTCCAAAGTGGGCGGCGTTCCACCAGGCGCTCAAGGTGCACAGGGCAACCCCAAAGGCAGCGCTCTTCAGTCGATGGTCCTCATCTTTGGTCAGGAAGCCTGTTGCCTCAGCGTGAACTCCTCACCAGCTTTAGATGTGGAACATGTGCTGGTATTCAAAGTCCGCATTCATGTCAAACCCACAAAAAAGAAAAGGTTTCAACCACACCACAGATACAGAGCATGTCTGTTTTGATACAGATCATGTCTGTTTTGGAAAATTGAAGAATGATCAACTTGTGGAGAAACATCCAACAGATGAAACGCGTGGCTAAGAGCTGAATCTTGAAAACCATCAGGTTCTCAACACCAACCTTCCCTTGTAAAAAGTGCAAAAAGTGCAAGAGATCAACAACGAGGTCCAGCTCAAGGTTCAACTTCCCCGCCAAGTGGCAAGTTCCAATAGATCTTCGGCTGCTGTGCTCGCCTGCCTCAGCCATACATTTCAGCACTCCTGTCCTAAAAAAGAAATCGTAAGCGTGCATGTAGTCACAATAGTCACACAGACTCAGAATCTGAGCGAATGTCACAGAAGTGGTTGCCAGTTGTCCCCCCCAGTTTTTCGAAATAGATCAATCCACCCGTCCTCCTGTCCTTCTAAATGATTTTTGAAAAGAGCACTTCCCAGTTTCGTGATCCCCAGTAGTGGATAGATTGGGTAGATCCATGTAGATCCAAGGCCCCAAGGTTTTGGAACGCCGAGTTGCTGCAGCTGATGCTCGTCCCGAACATCTGCTGCCACTGCTGGCAAGGGTGGCTGCATCAGCTGGCCGGCGTGGCGCACAGAGATCAGGGCCAGGAGTTCCAGCAGAGTGACCTCAAGGAGCTCCCAATCTGCCCAAAATCTTCTGGAGATAATCTTCTGGAGATTGATTCAGATTGATTCAGATTGATTCAGATTGATTCAGATTGATTCATGTCAAATTGACTTGGAGCTACAGAAGTTATGGAAAGTCTTCCAAGGGAGTCAGCAACAGGTTCTTCAAACATAGAATCTCGAAAAACGGGAAAAAAAATCATGTCCAGCAACACTGCAACACCTCTTGAATTGCATGAATTTAGAGGCATGTGCGGGTGTGTTCACTTTTAGGCTTTGGCCAAGGCGCTGTCAGCTCTTGTTCCACTGTCCCTGTTTGGACACGCTCATCAACCACGCTCAAAGCGGTTGACACAAAGCCTCCCAGGGTGTTGCAGGACGGATAAGTTGAGGCAGCCATTACTTTCTCGAACACTGAGTCGCTGGGATGCTTGGCAAATGACATCTGATGCTTTTTCGGTCCCCGCGCCTTCCACATCACACAAAGAAACATCATAAGCCTTCGCAAGGATGCGAAGTCGCTGAGCTGTGGCCAGTAAGGTGTCTGGCATGGGTACCTCGCAAAGGTGGATCCGTTCTGAGCGATGTGCCAAGTATGATAAGATATGATAAGATCCAATCAGGAAGCTTCTGTTAAAGGTAGAGGGGCTCATGGGTTCACAGCATACCCACGTTCAGCTTTCATGTTGCATTGATGCATTGTTTCTCTTGCTTGACCTTACTCTGAATATTGTTCGCCCGCAGGGAATGTTGGACTCGGTATCAAAGTAGAAATCTAAGATAAGATGAGGATAGATGAGGAGCCCAGTTGCATCGCTAGTTGAGGGCCACATCTGGTAGATTTTGTGTGTACAGAATGAACCCTGCCAAATAAATGGAGTTTCACATTGGAGACTAGATGTGACTAGACACAACTATAACAAATCGCAGTGCATGTTTTGGGGCGCCACAGAAAAGTTCCCTGCCCAACAGCTGCACCTCTGCCTCGATCTCTCCTGGCGCTGAATCATGATGGTTCTATTGGTAAATCTATGACTTGGAGAGTCAAATGTCTCATGCTTTGTCAAATCATACCGCCTCATTCTTGAATTGTCCATGGGATTCTGTTCCATACTGATTACGAACGTTTGCCAGCACCCATAGGCTACGACCAGCCAGAAATGCCATGGGTTTTATACTCTTTGTCGTTCTTGCAAAAAATAGTGAGTGACCTTGCTCAAGATTACACTATGCGATCGGTAAAAAAAACGTCACCCCAACACCTAAACTGACCTAATCGTCACTGCAGTGGCTGAGGCTGCAAGCACCATGCATCCCAAGAGTCCTTGAGAAGGTTTCCCGACCAACGGTGCCAGCTGCAGGAACGTGTCGTAGAGAGATTTCACCAAATCGTGCAACACGGGCCTGGAGCTCTGCCATCAAAGAGCTGGCCCGCAAGCTATCACTGGGGGACTACAGTAGCAACTGAAACAGGATGTTTTCGACACTGCAGTGATCTTCTCCCACTACTTCCAGTTGCAACTGGCACAGCCCACCTGGCTCCGCTGCAGAGCTCAAGTAGATGAGCCCAAGCCAAGGCCAAGTGTTCCAGGGCCTGACCAACTAAAACTGGATAAAGCTGGAACGACATCACTTCGAAAGGTGCACCCAACAATCACCCAACAATGTTTTTTTCAACACACATCACAAGCCGAGACAGAGCGCCTCCAAATCTGTCTGTCGCAGGAATAGGCTGCGCAAGGCTCGCGCCACTGGCTCTCCCGCGCTTCCGGCCAGCAATCCACCAGTTGGGCCTGGAGGACCTCAAAACTACAAGGCTTCCAGGGCTTCCAATGAGATGTCAGCAAATGCTGAAAGCCTTGATTCTTCCACCTGTCCAGCAAATAATGGTTTCTACATTGAGCAGGCTCCATGGCAGAGAAAGGATTGGGAAGTCTCTGTATGCCCTGCTGGGGCCTATCTTACAATGACTCACACATCTCCAATAAAGACTGCCTCAGCCTATGATATGATACTCTCGAAAAGCTCCAAGCCACTGTGGTCATGACCCAAAACTTCAGAGCTATATACTAGCTAAGGCACTTTGAGCGCAGAATCTCAACAAGTAGTTGCACAAGGATGCAGTACGCAACATAGCTGCCTGCAGTTTCCGCAAGGTAAAAGCCCCAACAGTCATCACAAAGAATCATACTGGCTTCCTACTATCATGGTGTATTCAGATTGTCTGGTACTATGCTTGATGGCTACTGTTCTTCGCTGCACTTGTTTGTTTTGAGAACCTTTTGCCTCTCTTGACATCTCGCAACGATTCCTGACTTTCGGCATCAAACAGAGATACCAAAAAGGATCAAAACATCTCAGTGGCCTTCTCAGACTGGAAGGTGCTCAGCAGGGTAGGCAATCGAGGGCACAAGGCACGAGCCGCGCGCTGCAGCAGTGCCTGACAATCTCTGAGAGTGCTCTCGTGCTGGGACAGTTGCAAAGCATCAGAGGTGTCAGACTACACATGGTATCGGTATGTATCAGTATACAGTATACTTTCTCTCCACTGGAGAACTGTGTAGACATGAGTCAAGTCTCGACATTTTTGAGGGTCTCTCCGAGGTTTTTGCGACTGAAGTCCAACAAAGCGCGAGCCAACTCGAAACCGGCATCCCCTGCCACCGTGGAACCCACAGTGAGGGTCTCTGTGTTGAGTTAGTTTGCAAACATTTCAGGAGCAAACCTCAGCTTCCATAGTGTTGTTGGCCAACCAGTCATCAAAGGCCACGCGAACAGTTGCCTGCCGGAAAGAAGCAAGTCGTGGTTGGAAACACTGAGAGACTGAGAGAGGTCTTGGTTTGTTACTGTAAGTGTGCCTCTTCAAAATTGGTTCCATCATCTTTCAAACATATTTGGAAAGAGGGTTGCAACGCGGGCATAGTCGAAGCAACAGACATGCCTTAAATATGTCAGCCCTTCATACCCTCACAGTTCCCAGCAATCTGGTGGCACCTCTGCCAGGAAGGCTATGGCCAAATGTTGATCCGCAGCAAGTTCCCCATCACCAAGCAAAAGGCTGGTCATGGCATCCCAATCCTCCAAGCACGATGCCTCACCGCTGTCAAGATCAGGAAAGCCAAACAAAAGAGGTCCCGCCCTGCGATAACCAGATGTCCAAAGTATGAAGATTGTGTTCACAAAAATCAATGCATGGATGTACGTTATCTGTGTAAGATGTTCATAGATATACAGATGTAGTTTTTTTCTGACTACCCAGTGTTCTCATTCCCCCTTTGTTGGCTTCAGATTTTCGATTTTCTGCATTATATATATATACACATTGTATTCCTGCATTGCTGGTTGCAACATCTTGGTTTCAAAAAAGTCTGCCTGTCAGAGTTTCGGACTTTATAGTGCATTCACTCACTCTCCATCCGCTGGCCTTGCGCCAGAGTGCGGCAACGAGCCGCTCAGTCAACTCGAAGTGGGGCTTGACAAATTCGACGAGGAAATCCAGCAGCATCTGCAAATGCCTGTGCGATTGCTGAGTACTGGGAATCGTATGAAGATTTGTAACATGTTTTTTGGGCAATGCAAAGTCCAGCTCAGAAAACTCAGGAAGTTTCCGACTGGTACTGATCACCCTTCAAGTTGCACATGATTGTCCCCACTGGCCTTTTGGCAGCTGAGCCGTCAGCTGTTCCGTTTGGCTGGTCAAAGATATCCTGCAACCAGGAATCAAATGCTGGCATCTCGAAATCAATTTTTTTTCAAGCAAAACAAGCAGCCAAGCTTCAGACAAATTCTGAAAGAGGGCTGGCAGAAACACTACAAGAAACCATCTAGTTGGTGTAAATATGGGAACGAACAGGTTTGTACGGGTTTGTCTGAAAATTAGATCCGCCCAAAATCCAGCAGTGATCAGCATTTTCTGCATTAAAACCTATTATATAAAATTAGTTGTTTGGCAGACCAAGTCAGGGATTTAGAAGACTTTCTTTTATTGTCTCAAATCTCAAATACCACTGCCCGTCCTCCTGCAGAATAAAGCGGCTCACAAACACGCAGGCTGCGTCACGGCGCAGTGCCTCTGGGTCCCAAACAAGGTCGGTGATGCGGCCGTAGTCCTCCTGATCCCAGGACAAACAAAACTTTCCAGTGAACTGGGTGAATTGGCAATTGCAAAGGTGGATGGTGTGGATGGTAAAGTTCTCACATCGCGATCAAGTGGAAAACCCGCTGTGGACTAATTTGTTCATGAAGTACTAGAGATAAACCACTCCCTTTGGGGCGCACGTACTTGATGATAACGATATGAACATAATATACATATATATATATATTGCAGCGGAAATTTGGGTTCTTTTACCCTGCTCGATCTGCTCTTCGAAACTTGGCTCACTGCTCCAATCAACCCAGCTGTGCAGCTGAGCCAACCACGGCAAAGCACACGGCAGCAAACATAATTCTCTCTTCGAAACTTGGCTCACTGCTCCAATCAACCCAGCTGAGCAGCTGAGCCAACCACAAGGGCTGCGGCACATGAATGTGAAACATGTTACCTAAGTGAAACTAGCGCTAAGTAACCTTTACACGCCAACACGCCTCCCGAGGGTGACGTGACCCAGGTCTGTTACCCGAGTTGGGTGTAGGTTCTCATGCTTCGCCCTAGATCTAGACATCGAGCGCAAGGCTGTGTCGCCCAGCTGTGAAGAAGTAGTTCATGCGCTCGAGTAACATACGTACCCTGGCTTGTTCCAAGGGTTTGGTGAGCAGGTCTGCAAGCATGTCCAAGGTGGGCTGTTTGCGCAGGGATATGCGTTTGCTGATAACTGCGTCTTGTACCCAAAGGAAAACTATATCGATGTGTTTGGCCTTTCCAAGGCCATGTCTCGATCCGATAGACAACCCGGTGTTGGAATCCATCCAACAGTGGATTGGGAACCATAGTCCCCAGTCTCGAAGGACAGACTGTTCACCGAGAGCATTGCAGGCAGCAGATGTGAGGGAAAAGTATTCCGCTTCTCCACTGCTCAATGCTATGACAGCTTGGCTCTTGCAACTTGTCTTGGTTGTAGATCCTCCGATTCTGATGCAGTAGCCAGTCGTACTTTTGCGCGTTCTCAAACATCCAGCATGATCTGCATCACACCAAACGTCCAATCGGGACGCAGTCTGTTGGGATGGAAACAAGTGGATGAGTCTCGGTTTGTTCTTCAAATACCGAGCACCACGCTTAAGCATTGTCCAATGAGCCACGGTAGGACTTTTCAACCCTTTCGCCAACTCCTTGGCCAAGACCTGCAAATCGGGCCGGTCCTGCGCCAGGTAGGCAAGCCTCATGCTCACTGAACGATACCTTGGCACCTCTCAAGGTTCAAGAGGTTCCGAACTCTCCACTTCTTCCAACCGTTCCTTGACCAGAGCCGTGGTCACTTTGGCTCCTTGGCATCCCATTTCGCGGATGATGAGTTCAGCATGGCGAGGGTCCGCTTCCAGCTCGATGCCTCGCTCAGTCCATGTCAGTTCAGGATGTCGATGCTCTGCTTGGTCCCAGGCATTCCCGGTGGACCCAAATAACCACGCTTTTCCACCGTCCAGTGCTTGCCAACTTCTGTGGAAAACCACTCCAGCTGATCCTTGGCTCCAAGTCCAGTGAAGTCGTCGCCGTGGACCTCCACTCTGATGCCTCGAACTGGGTGGTAATAAAGGCAGCTGTTGGAACGTCCTTGCACGAATCCTAAGACCTAAGAGATTCATGACACGAAGGATGGTCGCCTCCCAATTGGCAGGGGCGTCCTGGGTTCCATACAGCGACTTCTTCAGAAGTCCTACGAACTTCTGCGTATCAACACCAGTTTCGGCCGGCAGTTCCCCCAAGATGCGCCTCCGTGCGTCTGCCCAGAAGTGCGCCTTCTTGATGTCCAGGAAAACTATAAGCACTGATTGCGGGGTAACTCCTGCATCCTGCCGTCCAACCCCGGCACGCGCCGGGTCGTCGCTAATGCGAAGAGTGTCCGCAATGCGCTGATTGGCGGCATGGCCGCATAGAAATCCTGCCATGACGGTGTGTGCGGATCCGAAGACAGTCCGCTACGGAACGTCTTCTTGAGTTCTCGCGCCACCAGTCTGCTGCGATACTTTGGATTACGCCCGTCCTTCTTGTTGATGTCGACCCATCTGGTCGTGACGGTCCTTTCATGCTTTGGACGAGGGATTATTTCTCATACTTTCATTGCCTTGATGGTGGATAGCTCCTCCAAGCGAGACTCGCGAACGAGCTGAGTTGCTTACCCGAGATATTTGCAGTTTCTCTTCACACACCGGGTACGGATCCCTCCGGCGATAGAGCTCAGAAATCCTACTCGCAGGCTAAGTAGGAAGTTTGTCACCATCTCGTCCTCTGTCTCTAACGACCTCTTCCGAGAAGACGTGGACTCCTCGGAAACTTCCATGCCCTGTGATTCTGGGACACTTGGACCGGGGCCAGGTGCTGAAGCAGCACTCTGACCTCTGGTTGATCTGGGGCCAGGTGTCGAAGCGACACTCTCACCCTTGGACTCAACTCTGGCCCTTTTTGAAGTGTCAGTGTGGGCTTTCTTGGGAGGACTCGCCTCCTGACTGCTGGGTTCTTCAGCGTCTCTTTTCTCTGCCGATCTTGATCCGGACCCAGGACCTGGTACCGACACGGTACTCCGATCCTCAGATCGCTCGTCAAGCTTTTCAACTTTTCGAACCTTACTAGGCCCTTCCTTACGCTTGGCAGCGTCCAAGCGCCTTCGACCTTCTGCAGTCTCTTCCAACTTTCCAACCAACCTTGCTCGGCAAAATTCCGTTTGGTGGACTCCTTCACGTGAAACACCGGCGCGGATCAAGTCGCACGCCGGACATGATGCCGTGTAGCCGTGCTTGTCCAAATCCGCTTGACTGATGTAGACGCGCCGTGGCGCTTCACTCCTTTCTGCCGAGACAGCCTCCTTTGCTGGCTCGTCTGGCAGTTCTGGTTCAATTGAAACTGCTTAACTTCCGGCAGCTCCTGCGCCTCTCTGGCCGAGCCACTCGACCAGGGACTGGCGCCCATGGTGTGCCCTTGACCTTTTTGAACAAGTCAGGGTCCCAACGAAATTCTTTTGGCTTCCGTCTGATTGACTGCACAACCACTATACCGTTCTCAGTGGCAACGACCTTTTCCGGAGTATTGAGTCTGATGCCACAAAAGATACCAGTGGACCATCGTGCTTCTAGCTTGTGTCTTGTGCGCACTCTGTAGTCTACTGCTTCTCCCCACGGGGGCAGTGACACTTGCCAATCACGTCCCTTTAGTCTGCGGACAAGTGTAAGGCCATCCTTCATTGTGTCATCATGGGCATACAGGGTATACATGCTGCCCGCGTGTTCGATCAACCAAGCCAACAGTGGTGACTTGGGGTCGATGGCTTCTCCCATGCCTATTTCACAGGCATCTTTGTAGGTTCTGCACAACCCTTGGGTAATCTCAACGGCCGCCTCAGCTTCCCCGTTGGATTTCCCATGGTGATCTCCCTTAGGAGAATTCTCTAGTTGCACCCTTACGTTTGATGATGCAAACGCGTTCTTCACGGCGTCTGCGACAGCTTGGAACGAAGGTTCTTGATCACTCTTGATGACCAGACTGGGGTATCCCAGGAACTTTACATCCCTGTACAACGCTTGCTCTGGATAGAAGTGCTCCACCCCTTGTACCAGGTGCGTGAACAGTGCCTTCCTCTTGCGATCTCTTACCACTAGAACAGGCATCTTGGCTCCTCCAACTGCATCGGATGGGAGCTCACCTGGTGCCCCAAAGAATCCGTAATCTATGCTGATCACCGGAATTTCTTCTGGGTCGTCACACCTTGCGATCCGACGATGAGCGAAACTCTTTCCTCTGCCTCTAACACAGTGAGAGCACCACGGCCTGAAGGGTGTGACTCACCGCGTGTGCCTCAATTTCTTCGGGACTAGGTAAGCTTGGCGACTTAATTGGTTTGGCCGCTCTGCCTTCCTCAGCCTCTGCCATGCCATGTTCATCTGATGGCACTCCATCTTCGGGATCGCCGAAAATCCAGTCAAGGAAAAGATCGTCTTGCTCCTCTTCTTGCCCATCAAAGTGGACAACCTTTCCGATTGGTTGCCTAGAAGCCATCTTGGCGCTGTCCAGCCAGACCGGAAGGACATACACCCCATTCTTTTGGAAGATCCTGTGGATTCCACCACTCTTCGTTTCCAGGTAGCTGACTTTGGGCGACAGCACAACCTTTTTGCCACTGCTGATCATTTGGCCAACCGACATCAGCCGCTGTGAGATGTCTGCCACGGACATTCGCACTTCCATTGTTTCATTGCCCATCAGCCATGCTTTGGTAGATAGGGTGCCCTCATTCAACACCACCGCTCCATTTGCCAGCTTGAAGCTACTGTAGCCACGGGGTCCACCCAGCGTTACCTTTCCCACCAACTCCTTAGGGATGGTGGTAGCACTGGCTCCAGAATCGATCACGAAATCAACTCTGGTCCACCCCGGGTGACTGCTTGTTGCACTGCACATCTTCCGTGAGAAGGATGCTGGGTGTCCAGTTCCTTCTGGCTCACCCTTGCCCTTCCCCTTCTTGTGCCTTTCCTTTCGGCGCTGCTCTCTGCGTCGCTCTCTTTTGTGTTTGGCTTTCCTTCTCGCTGGTGAATTTTTGGTTGCCGTCGCCGGCAAGCTCGTCGTGCGCGGCCTCACCGGCGGCAACTCCAAGAACGCCGCTTCTTCTTCCAGTAGAGCGCTCTTGGCTTTTCTCGACAGGGGCGCTGCTTGAACTTCATCCTTTAGAGCGCCGGTCGCCAACGGAAACACACGGACTTTCCGACTGGCCCCCAGGTCGGTCGAACCGCCTGTGCCATTCCAGTTCGTTGGTCTGCCTCTCTTCTATCCTTGGTCGTTGGCCTTCAAGTCTTTTCGCTGCTCGCTTTCTTGACTTCTCCTTCAGGTAGGCAAGACGATTGCCCATGACCTTCTTGTCGGCCTCTTTCAAGCACAGCGATGCTATTCAGGAGATCCTCTCGCGACTCATCCTCACCTGGATCGTCCAAGCGCGACCTCAACTTGTCGAGCTCGTCCACCCTTTTGGACAAGAGTTCTCCAAGGACAATTGCCCGCGACGCGTTGCTGACCTTGTATGGCTCAGGAGCGGGCTTCGACGACGAAGCTCCAACCCACACTGTGCGAACCAGATCCAGTTGGCCGTCGACGGTGTGGAGGAATGTACTTCCCAACTGAGCCTTCCTCCTTCGCGGGAGATGTTGGTGATTCTTCATGATTCTTCCACTTCGGTTGCTGCGAGGAATTGGTGACCGGGATCGTGGAGTGGAAAAGGCGCTGAAACAACGCTCTTCCTCTCGTCACCACTGGTCTCCTCGACTTCAACCTCGACCTCTGACTCTCCTTCTTCAGCACTTACTTGTGCTGACTCCTCTTCCTCAGAGCTTTCCACGCTTTGTATTTCCTCCTCTTCGACGCTTTGCATCTCCTCCTCTTCGCCTTCCTGTTCGGGCTCGTACTTGTCCTTGTGCTTGGAGTAGTCTGGTTCTCTTGGCAAGTGCACCCAAACGGGGTCCTTCCCACAGTGCACGGGATTCCTGAGGAACTCCTCCTCACCAGGCAGCTCTGGCCTGATGTAGTGGCCTCATTTGGCCTCGACCTTCCAGGCATCCCATTGCTCTTGCACAGGGTGACCCATCGTCTGTAGCTTGGACCACAAGTGTGCTTCCAAGCCATGAGCTGGAGAGTATCCCTTGCAGTTAGGCACCGTGCACCGGTAGGTCGAGTCCGCTTTACTTCGATCTCTCTTGCACTCCGAGAACACGTCGTCCCAAGGCCTCGACCAGAACCAGGAGAGGTTGCCGTGCTCCGGGCGCACGATCCTGGCAGCGGTCTCCCTGTCCATTGGTGACCCTGTGCGACCCTGGGACGGTACTGAACCAGTACTCGACCCTCGGGCCACGCACAAGAGTCTCGTTCAGGTTCGTCACCATCCGGCCACTCCTGTTCAGCAGCTTGATCCCCTTCAGCTTCGCCTTCCAGCCTTGCCTTTGGAGCCTTTCCCGTGGCTTTTACCTTTCTGTTGCCCCTTTCCTTTGCCACTCTTGGCGTTGGGCTGGGAACTGCCCTTCTGACCTGGTGGTTGACCAGAGCCTCCATTGGCCTTTGCGTGCCAACAATTGGCCTTGCGATGGCCTTTCTTGTTGCACAAGTGGCAAACCACGTCCTTGTCGGGATTGCCCTTATCATCTTTGGTTTTGCCTTTTGAGCCTTTTCCTTTGCCTTTGTTGTTCCCCTTGAATGCGTCCAGCTCCATGGGAACAGCACCACCACTATCGGCGTCAGCCTTCGCAGCTTTCTGCTCAGTGTAGGAGATGATGCGTAGGTGTCAAAGCGGCCAATGTTCATCTCCAAGTGGTCTTCCAGGGACTCAGGAACCATGCTCAGGAGGATGGTTAACCTTCTGCGGGTCATCCAAGTCTCGGTTGCCTCGCTGCACGTACTCGACCAGGTCAGCTTCCCATTTGTCAATGGCGGCTCTAAGACCGTCCAAGGTGGCTCTTGGCTGCACCAAGATCCTGCGAAGAAGCCTCATGTTGCTCCTTGGGTCGTGGGGCTCGTACATGTGGCTCAACCTGCACCATGCGTCCAGGCCACGTTTCTTCCTTGAGTTTAACACCACGGTGTAGGGCATATCGCCCGTCAGCGACACCAAAGCCACGTGCAGATGGCCGTCCAGAGTTCGAGTTTCTGGAACCGTATTTTCTCTGAGTTAGATATCCGAATCCTGGATTGTGTTGTCTCCTTTGCCCTTTGCCCAATCCAAAGCTTCCTGTCCAACTCCTGGGTATTGAGATGCAAACCAGCTCTCAAACTTGTACGCCCAACTCTTCCACGCTTTCCGGGCTTCCTTGTGGGTGCCCTTCAGGACATCGGGTTTTCCTACCCCTTTGATGTCTACTACGCTGGACCTCTTCGACAAGGCCTCCAGCGCCTTGAGCTGTGCGTCTGTGCTTGCACGCAGAACTCTTGCCTGGTCCTGCAAGCTTCGCTCCAGGAGTTCATACCTTTGTTGAGCATCTAGTGCCATCTGTTGATCTGTCCAAAGATCAGTTCAGCCGATGCACCACCAGATGCCGCTCCTCCAGTGGGGCTTCCAGGTCCAGACATCACCTCAGGTGTCTACACGGGCCCAATTGGCCCGGGCGCGAGCTGAAACAGCTCTGCGCCTCGACCACTCGGGGAAGCACCACGCAGCTAGTACCTGGATTCACCTCGGCAGACGCTCCGCTACCATGCAGCGGAAATTTGGGCTCTTTTACCCTGCTCGATCTGCTCTGAAAAAGGGCTGCGGTACATGAATGTGAAACATGTTACCTAAGTGAAAGTAGCGCTAAGTAACTTTTACACGCCAACATATATATATATATATATGTATATATATATAGTATACATGTATGTGTGTATATATATATATACATGTGTATACATATATACATTTTAGTATAAGGTTTGCAATAGAAAATCTTCCACCAGCTGTTGACCCCCGCCTCCTTGAGGACCTCAGCCTTGGCCAAGTCGCAGGCGCAGCGCAGCGCAGCAGCACTCACAGAGGCATCGATGTCGTGGCAACGCTCCAAAATGCGTGGGCCTCAGAATGTCGTGGAACTCTGCGGGGTCCAAAAAAAACATCACTTTGCGGGTACCAAGGTAATATACATCATGGTACATCAAAAACTGTTTGGTAGCCGGTAAGTCCCTTGAGGAATCAACCAGGAATTATGATATAATTGGAAGATGACTTAAGCTTAAGAGTCCGAACCTGCAACTGAAATTCTTAGCTACGAATGAGAAGAGCCCATTAAATGGCATTCAAACTTGCGTCCGTCTGTCCCCATTGCAGTTTGGCTGCGAAGGTCTTCAGCCAAGGATTTTACCTAGCATGTCGGAGGCTCCATGGCTGAAGGATGTGTAACTGGCCATCCCGTTGGAAGAGTGAAGTACACATTATCCAACATCATCCAACGTCGGTACGTCTCTAATAAGGGATGTACTAATTATATATGTGTGTATGTATATTTAGATATATATATATATATATATATGTTGTTGTGGTTGTGGTTGTGGTTGTGGTTCTGGTTGTGGTTGTTGTTGTTGTTGTTGTTGTTGTTGTTGTTGCTGTTGCTGTTGCTGTTGCTGTTGCTGTTGCTGCTGGTGGTGTTGCTGTTGGTGGTGTTGCTGTTGGTGGTGTTGCTTTTGGTGGTGTTGCTGTTGGTGGTGTTGCTGTTGGTGGTGTTGCTGTTGGTGGTGTTGCTGTTGGTGGTGTTGCTGTTGGTGGTTTTGCTGTTGGTGGTGTTGCTGTTGGTGGTGTTGCTGTTGGTGGTGTTGCTGTTGGTGGTGTTGCTGTTGGTGGTGTTGCTGTTGGTGGTGTTGCTGTTGGTGGTGTTGCTGTTGGTGGTGTTGCTGTTGGTGGTGTTGCTGTTGGTGGTGTTGCTGGTGGTGTTGTTGGTGGTGTTGCTGGTGTTTTGTTGTTGTTGTTTCTATTGTTGTTTCTATTGTTGTTATCCGCCGACCCCGGCCTTCGCCAAGGCAGGGGCGGCGCCTGGGACCACCGCAGGTGTGGAACTTGTCTTTCTTAGCAACAGGCATCCCAAGGCCACATCAATGGCTTCTTCTGGGCGTCCAAGCCTGCCGTTTGCCACGCCTTAAACGCTTCAAAGGCTTCAAATCGTTACAAGCCAGGCCTTAAACGCTTCAAAGGCTTCAAACCGTTACGTGCATCAATGGCTTCTCATGGGCTTCCAGCGCAGGCAAAAGCTACCCCAAGGCCAGATCCATTGCTTTTTCATCCCAAGGCCACATCAATGGCTTCTTCTGGGCGTCCAAGCCTGCCGTTTGCCACGCCTTAAACGCTTCAAAGGCTTCAAATCGTTACAAGCCAGGCCTTAAACGCTTCAAAGGCTTCAAACCGTTACGTGCATCAATGGCTTCTTATGGGCTTCCAGCGCAGGCAAAAGCTACCCCAAGGCCAGATCCATTGCTAGCGTGCCGTTGGCCAGGCATTCGCAGCCAACAGGCATCCCAAGGCCACATCCATGGCTTTTTATGGGCGTCCAAGCTTGCCGTTTGCCAGCCCTTAAATGCCTAAAACGCTCCAAACCCCTAAAACGCTCCAAACCCCTAAAAGGCCACATCAATGGCACCCCAAGGCCAGATCCATTGCTTTTTCTGGGCGGTCCAGCGTGCCGTTCGCCAGGCATTTGCAGCCAACGGGCTCCCAAGGACACATCCATGGCTTCTTATGGGCTTCCAGCGCAGGCAAAAGCTACCCCAAGGCCAGATCCAGTCCTTTTTCTGGGCGGTCCAGCGTGCCGTTCGCCAGGCATTCGCAGCCAACGGGCATCCCAAGGCCACATGAATGGCTTCTTATGGGCTTCCAGCGCAGGCAAAAGCTATCCCAAGGCCAGATCCATTGCTTTTTCTGGGCGGTCCAGCGTGCCGTTGGCCAGGCATTCGCAGCCAACAGGCATCCCAAGGCCACATCCATGGCTTTTTATGGGCGTCCAAGCTTGCCGTTTGCCAGCCCTTAAACGCCTAAAACGCTCCAAACGCCTAAAACCCCTACAAGGCCACATCAATGGCTTCTTATGGGCTTCCAGCGCAGGGAAGCTACCCCAAGGCCAGATCCATCGCTTTTTCTGGCCGGTCCAGCGTGCCGTTGGCCAGGCATTCGCAGCCAACAGGCATCCCAAGGCCACATCAATGGCTTCTTCTGGGCGTCCAAGCCAAGCCTGCCGTTTGCCACGCCTTAAACGCTTCAAAGGCTTCAAATCGTTACAAGCCAGGCCTTAAACGCTTCAAAGGCTTCAAACCGTTGTGCATCAATGGCTTCTCATGGGCTTCCAGCGCAGGCAAAAAGCTACCCCAAGGCCAGATCCATTGCTTTTTCATCCCAAGGCCACATCAATGGCTTCTTCTGGGCGTCCAAGCCTGCCGTTTGCCACGCCTTAAACGCTTCAAAGGCTTCAAATCGTTACAAGCCAGGCCTTAAACGCTTCAAAGGCTTCAAACCGTTACGTGCATCAATGGCTTCTTATGGGCTTCCAGCGCAGGCAAAAGCTACCCCAAGGCCAGATCCATTGCTAGCGTGCCGTTGGCCAGGCATTCGCAGCCAACAGGCATCCCAAGGCCACATCCATGGCTTTTTATGGGCGTCCAACCTTGCCGTTTGCCAGCCCTTAAATGCCTAAAACGCTCCAAACCCCTAAAACGCTCCAAACCCCTAAAACCCCTAAAACCCCTAAAAGGCCACATCAATGGCACCCCAAGGCCAGATCCATTGCTTTTTCTGGGCGGTCCAGCGTGCCGTTCGCCAGGCATTTGCAGCCAACGGACTCCCAAGGCCACATCAATGGCTTCTTATGGGCGTCCAGCGCATTGGCAGGCAAAAGCTACCCCAAGGCCAGATCCAGAGCCTTCGAAACTGCTACATGGCACGTTTTGGCCAGGCCTTAAAAGCCTCAAAAGCCCCGCAGCAGCTTTCGAAAGCCTCAGCACCGCACAAGCCTCCGCTTGCTTTGCCATCG